CTTGAGCACAAACCGAATTCCATTTCTGTTGGTGGTGCTGATGAGGCCAATTTAAACGAAGTCTAAACTGAAGTCCACTCCAGCCGGGATGAGAATATCTTATGCGAAAGCAAAGCCACATGAAATCCAATGGAAACATAATGTCTAGTTATATGTTTGTGGGAAAGTTAAACTATCATTTCTTTATCGTCCTAAACCAAATAGTGAACACACATCATATACGAACTTTTAATGTTAGAAGAGGATAATGCATGGATCAGGTTGTTCAGTGTCTTTAAGACTTAACGAGTAAGTTGCAAAAATGCGGTCAAAACATATTTATGGAATAAAAGAAGAGACAAACTAAATTAAATGCCACACCAGGCTCATTTTCATACATATGGCTACTAATAACCAGATTGAAAGCAGTAAAATGTATTTAAAAATTGTAGACCGATGGCAAAGTTTGCAATTATCGTTGAAAATAAACACTCTAATACTACCGCCACTTTAAATATGAGCACTAGCACCACTATCGCGGCCAACACGATTGCTGTCACCAGAAATGGTGTTACAATTCTGCTCAACTTTAACAAAGGGGCGGGGAGTTTGAGTCCGAGTGGAGCGAAATATTAAGTCTGCAAGACTGAAATCCGGGTGCCTTAGAAACGGCTTGATAGTCTTCACTTTGATGCGTAGGCATGCAGTCTCGTCTCTGCTACCATGAACGGAGTAGAGGGTGTTAAAACGACTGAAATGAGGTATGAATGCGAGTGAAAGACTGCATCGGATACTGGTCATCTCACAATTGGAGCTCGGCAAAATTGCACATGACCAGCTCTTTCAGGAGCGCCTGACTGTGCTCGCCCTGAAGAGGCTCCTGCCGAGAATGTTATGCAATCCAGCGTCATATGGCTTTGACATACTTGTATGTGAATCAGTGTCTATGTGTGTGTGTTTATGTGTATGTGTATTTATGCTCTACTGGAGACAAAAGCAGACCCGCTTGGGTCTGTGAGTAAGCGGTCATGGAGACAAAGTTTGCGAGCGCCCTTCCAGTCGGAGAAACGGTAAATATGGAGGACTACCAACTGTCAAGCGAGAAAACGTCCGAAATGATGAGACGTCGGCTGTTACAGCAAACAGAAATGGCCTCATACTCCGCCTGCATGGCTGGCAAACACTCACGATTGTTCTCTCTTGCCTCGCCGCTGTTGACTGGAGATAGGCTGACAACGAAAGTGCGGCTGTCTGGTGGAATTCACCTCATCCACCATGTCTACTCTTTGTTGATGGGCCACTGGGCGGATTTCTGAGACACACACACACACACACACTTGCACATGACCTGCTTGAGTCTTGCTGAAATTCAATTTGAGCCTCATGTTGGAAAGGTCAGAAAGGTTGACGCGAGCAGCTACAGCGATTTGAGTCGTTGACGCGAGGGAATCCCAGAGGCCCAAGCAAGCGCCAGCTCAAGACAGGCCAAACCCGACAGACGTTGCAATTTTGGCCAATCGAGAAAGCTCGGGTGTACCAATCCCCACGACTCGCTTGCTCGAATCCGGCCAGACTCTGCCGTCTTCTTTTGTTTATTTGAAGAAAAGTTGGATTTCGAGGAATACCTATTTTTTTAGTTTATTGTATTTAAACGTTATTTCGTTAAGAATGCCATCTTGCTAGGATAATATCTGTCACGGTGGTACAGAAAAAGCTTTTTACTGATGAATCAATCGCAGACCAATTCATGTATTTCTTCCGGCCGATCTTTTCTTCGAACTAGCAAGTCGAGTCGCATGGTATTCAGATCGATAAAGTAGAATCCCGCAAGAATGTGACAACTTAACACCTCGAGTCCTTCATCGTTTCCGTATTAAAGAGGTCGGCGGGGGGGCAACTTGAGCAAAGACCCCAACTGACCTGCTGACAGATTTTAAGTTCTACAAGAAATATCCGACGTCTTTTAATGGAACTAAACAGCAAATTGTTACAGCATTCACATGCATACAAAATGAAATTCTCCACAACAAGGATATCTCAAGAAATTGTCTCAACATAACAGAGTAACATATATCTTGTCAAAAGTTTTTAGGTTTTCGGGTAGCTAAAAATCGCACTACTTTTTTGTGTGAGTAGTATAAACTCATTATTTCGTGGGTTGCGTCAATCTGAGATTTGTATCGGATTAAGCCCATTTGGGTCATAACAACCGGAATCAGCTGTCTTCCAGCAAGATTAACCAATAAAATGAAAGACTTTGCAGCAGCATTATCCCAAAAGATTTTTCGTAATGCATCTAATATTTGTAAATTTAATTTAAATACTTGCATAGTTATGCGTTATTGCCTATTGTTGGTATGAAAATTTTTAGTAATGCTTAACCAGGCTCAGGACTATTTACGTCTCTTTTTCATGTTTTTTGTTTTTTTCTACTCCTCTTCCATCACTCACTATCTCTTCTTAGGCATAGCCAGCAGTCGCAAATATTTCTCGTTTTTCGATTAAAATAAAAGCTAGGTTTGAAATAATTTGCTCAATTTCATACACTCGTTTCTTCTATTCAGTATATTGGCAATTGTATATCCAGAAAAGTGGGTTTCATCGAAAGCCGCAGTGATCTAGTTTGACTCGACTTTTCCTTTTGAACGAAAAGCTGGTTCGAAGGAATTCGTGAATCGGTTTCACCAGAAGGTAAAGAAAGATTGACCTACCGTCCTGCGACCTTGATCGATTCGTGCCAAGCACCCGTCTATACCACTTTGACGAGCATTGTCAGAGTAGGAAAGTATACTTGACGAAAATAAAAATAAATACAATATTCCAAGCAAAAAAGTAAGGTTGGCTTGTGGTATTTCCAGTCATTTTCCATTCTGAGCTTTACGTTTGTTACAAGGTCTCTCATGCTTTGCATTCATATAAAGTTGGTCCTGAACCTACTGGTAAATGTAGAATACGAGTTTCATCAACTCATGCGACAACGAGTAACTGGAACCCTTATCCCATGAGCTGGTTTAGCACACACTCTTGCAGATGAGCTAGTTTGATGTATGAAAATAAAGTGAATGCGGCAATAGTTGTTTCTCTGCCTCAATAAAGCAACTTATGATCATGTAATGTTTAGGCATGTTTTGTCATTTGGCGATGAAATGTTCAAGTCATGTAAAGTGCAAGAGACCTGATCAGACTCCTCCATTTTGCTGAATAATTCTTCATGTTCTTTCTTGCTCCTTTTTCTTTCATCTCTTTTTCTTCCCTCCAAACGCCCATCCAACAGGCGCAAACAATCTCCATCCAGTTTTCTGCACATGCTCTTCCCATTCAGGATGTTGGTCATTTTGGGTTTTACACTTAGGCTTCCGCAAATACCAGTTACAAACCCGCTTCAATTGGCCCTAATCAGCACCTCAGCAGGTTTCGAACTCGGATGGTTACGCGTATACTCTCGACAAGCGGAACACTACACCCGCTTGCCATGAGTGCTCTTGGATCGCATGGCAGAGGTGCATTTCACAGAAGCCCATATCACATCAACTTAAAAGAAATCGAATAAACACACTATTATATCCGTTCTACTGGTAGCCTCAAAAAACTACTTATAAACTGAATATAAGTAGTATAGTCTATTTCGATAGCAAATACAACAGTGTTTCGTGGAAAATCACATCGCAGTAATGTGATATAGGAAACACATAATCTTCATTGAAATTCACTTCCTTCTTGTGACCCAATGGTACCAGTGGTAGTGTGATGTCGAGATTGTATGCTGCACTACCAAAGCCCAAGTTCGAGTCCCTTTGCTTGCGCTGATAGAAAGAGTTCTGGCAAAGTCAAAACTGTAGTCCAGTCCAGTCTGAATGAGAATAACTTTTGAGGAGCAAGGCAGTGTGAAATGGGGCCTAATCATATGATTGTGCAGAAATTAAACTATCAGTCGTTTATTACTCTAAAAGAGATAAAGTGAATACAGCTCTTATATGTTGGTTGTTTTCTTTCTTTCTGTAGACACTCTGATCTCACGCTTGGGTATGAAATTTGCTTGACCTGCAAAAGACCGCATTTTGAAGCGATTCAATTCCATCTCCTGTGTTCAATATATGTTCAGACAGTTCCGATTTTTAGACCCATAACCTTTTTTCAAGCGTTTTTATGCTATTGTGGTACTGTTAAGAAAAGTTGATGAGATGACTGAAACCGTGTTGCCAGCGTATAAAAGTAAATAGTTTTTCTTCATCACTATGGCCTATTGTATAAGTTGTACAGCTTTCCGGACAGCAAATATTCTATTAAATTATTTCATGCTCTTACGAAGAATAACCAGCAACCCAAATGTGTACAT